GCGGAAGACTCAGTAAGCTAGGAGGAAGGCCATTAGAAGACAGGAGACTAATAACCTGGCGAAGGACCGAGTCAATTGGCGGCAGAGACGACGGTGGTAGTGGAACAAAAAACGGTCGACGTTGCACAATGCCTCCAGCGCCAGCACCTCCAGCTCCAGGGTCTACACCCCCAGCGCCTCTAGCTCTAGGGTCTACAGATCCAGTGCCTCCTGCTCCAGCGCCTCCAGCTCCAGCGCCTCTAGCTCTAGGGTCTCCAGCTCCAGCTCCTCCAGCTCCAGCGCCTGCGCCAGTGCCTCCAGCTCCAGAGTCTCCAGCTCCAGTGCCTCCAGCTCCAGCGCCTCCAGCGCCAGTGCCTCCAGCTCGAGCGCCTCCAGCACCAGGGTCTCTCGCTCCAGCTCCTCCAGCTCCAGCGCCAGTGCCTCCAGCTCCAGGGTCTCCAGCTCCAGTGCCTCCAACACCACCAGCTCCGGCAGCTCCAGTATCTCTAGTACGAGCACCTCCAGGACCAGCAGCTCCAGCACCTATGGCTCCAATGCCTCCAGTGGCAGAGCTTCCAGCTCCTGCAGCTCCACTCCTAAGGCGTGTGAACTGAGCAAACCACTCGCGCAGCTGCTGCGGTGAGAGAGGCTCCCGCCGGGGAGACAGTCGTGGCGAGGCACCCGCAGGACCTCCAGCAAACGCGGTACCCCTAGGGTCAGCACCCCCAGACTCCGCATCCTCAGACTCAACACCACCAGGCTCTGCACCCTCAGGCTCAGTACCCCCAGGCTCCGCACCCTTAGGCTCAGCACCCCCAGACCTTGCACCCTCAGACTCAGCACCCCCATGTTCCGCACCCTCAGGCTCAGCACCCCCAGGCTCCGCACTCGCAGGCTCAGCACCCCCAGACGCAGCACCTCTAGCAGCACCTGAGTCTACAGCGACCTCGACAGGCACAGTCCCGGGGAGTGGGTCTACCTGAGACACACGTGAGGGAGCAGGACCCTAAGGAGGGAGGGGGTCTACCGGAGGGGGACCTGGAGCAAGGAAGAGCGGCGGGGGCGGGGGAGGGGAAGTGCGGTAGGGGAAGAGGCGGTAAAAGGGAACCGATTCGTCAAACATGACGTCCTGATAGGAGAGGACACGGCGCGAGGTGGGGTGGTGAAACTGCCAGCCAGGCGCGTCAGGGAGAAAGCCAAGGAAGACGCAGGGAATAGCGCGGGAGGAGAGCTTGTCCGCGGAAGTATTGCGAACAAAGGCACGAGAGCCCCAGACCCGGAACACCGACGTATCGCCAACCTTCCCTGTCCAACGCAGTGTAGGCGAGGTCTCCGGCAAGGAGACACGGGGCCAGAGGTTGAGCTGATGCGCAGCATACCGGACCGCAAACGGCCACAGAAAATGGGGAGCAGCTGCATGGATCATGGAGGTACAAGCCACCTCCATAACTAAGCCAATGCGGCGCTCAGCAATCCCATTTTGCTACGGGGAGGCCGGAAGCGTGAACGACTGGAGGATGCCCTCCCCACGACAAAATTCCCACAAGAGGTCAGAGGAGAACTCACCACCTCTGTCAGAGTGCAGACACAGGACAGGAAGGTCCTCGCGGAACCGCTCGCGGAACCGCTCGCGGAGCTGGAGACGGACTGCGCAAGGGGAAGACCGTGGTGTAACGCGTGTAGTTGTCAGCAACCAGCAGGAAGTAGCGCTCGCGGTCCTGTCCACTGACGTGGGCTGGGCCCCACACGTCCATGTGGAGAGTCTGCAGGGGAGCAATCATCGGGGGAAACGAGGAGGAGTGAGGAGCGGCGCGCTGCCGCCCCTCGACGCAAGAAAGGCAGGGCGGGGCAGGCGAGGGCGGGAGGGGAGGCAGAGACCTAGGAAGACCAGAAACAAGGAGACGGGAGTGCATGCCACGAAGGCGTGGCAGGGAGGGGTGACCAAGGCGGTGGTGCCACAGGAGAGCCTGGTGCAACAGGAGGCGACACGAGCAGGGGGGGTTCTACCTGAGGAGGCTCGGTAGCCAGTGTGTACAAACTCGACCCAGGCCGACGGGTGAACATGGCCAGGTGACGGCCCGTCCGTGTACACGTGCAGATCGACACACGCTGACCCCCAAGAGTGGTGGTAGTGACCATCGCATCCTGAAGGGCAGCGGTACTCACCAGGTTCGTAGAGAACAAGGGGAGGTGAAGGCCTAACAGTGAGCCGGACGGAACCGCCAGACACGGGAGAACAGTGGAGGAACGGGCAAGAACTGGGCCCCCTAAGGGGTCAGCCAGTCTGACCGGTACAAGTGCAGAGAGAGAAGTGAGGGTGGTACTGTCGCGAAAGAAACAGCGGGAAGCACCTGAGTCAAGCGTAAAGGTGTGCAAGGCCGCAGCAGGTGCAGTACTAGGGAGAGAAGACTCACTAGCACCTAGAGCAGCAGCATTTATAACTGGGCCGGGCGGGACACACAGGTAACAGTCACACTCAGCACTAACAAACAAGGCATACATGGCAGCAAGGATAGCATCATAGTCAAGAGCAAAGATATCAACTCCAAACCTAAGCAGCTCTGTCCAGTGGGGGCGCTCAGCCTCTTCACCAAACTCTGCGTGCCAAGCGTCGTCTAGGTGGGAGAAGCAGCGGTGCTGAGAGTGAAGTTTCCTGCATGTCTGAGAAACACGGTCACCCGTGCAAATGACATACGGGCAGCGAACACTATCCCCAGACGCCCCACGCTGAGAAAACCACTCACGAAGCTGCTGGGGCGAAGGGTTCTCACTCCGACGCTCTTGCTGCTGCCTCTGGCCACCGCCAGAACCTCCCCTCTGAACAGATCCACCCCGACTGCCACCACTTCCACTGCCGCCACTACTGCCACCCCCACCGCCTCCACCACTACCGCCACCGAAGCCCCCACTCCCGCCACCACTCCCGCCACCACTCCCACCGCTGCCACCACCTCCGCTACCTCCACCACCTCCACTGTCGCCACCACCACCACCCCTGCTGCCACCGCCACCACTCCTGCCACACTTGCCCTTGCTGCTGTGGCGCTTCCCACTAACAGTAGAAGCAGCCCCGACATCCTCAGCACCAAGGATGTCAACAGCAGCAGCAGAAGCGTAGGAGGGGGCAAGGGGGGAGGGGGAACACCCCTCAAAGAAGGGTGTGCGAGGAGTGCCACGAGCAGCACCTATGGCGATTACACTAGTCTCTGCTGCAAAGAGGTGCTGCTCGAGCAGGTCGACAGTCAGGTCTGTGAGGTCAAGTGCGAGAAAGTGGTCTCTGACAGCGCGATGAGAGTCAGGGAGGCAGGTGATTATGAAGTAGAGAGTGATGTACATCGGGGGCGGGTTCCTGTCAAGGAACTCGGCTGGGAGGGCAGCGCGGTAGCGAGCGTCGCTAGTGCGGAGGTGGGTAACGAGGTCCTCGACTGTGGCAAAGGCTGACAGCTCGGGAAACAGGTAGGGCAGTATAAGGCGGCCTAGAGCAGCAGTGGCAGGGGAGGAGTAACGAGCGACTACAGCGTCGTACAGGGCTTTAGCAGTCTTGTGCTGGCCAAAGTGAGCGCGTTCGGCTAACGGCAGGTGGTTGCGAACGGCTTAGCGAGCAGCAGCGTCACGGGTAAGCCACTATGAGCGAGTCGCACTGTCAGCTGTGGCGGGATGGGCGAGAGAGGCTCCAGACGTGTGGTCAAACAATGAAACGCTGTCTCTAGAATTGCTCAGTAGGTACAGCTGTAAGTCGTCGAGCCACGTATCGAACTGGATCGGACGGCCCTCATGATCGAACGTGAGTACACTGAGAGAAGCCATAGCGGGCAGAGCAGGGTGGTGCGCGACCAGCAGAGCAGCACACAGGCAGGGCGGCGTGCGAGCACTAGGGAAGCGCGCAGGGCAGGGCAGGGCGGCGCACGGCTTGGGCGGCCAGCAGGGCGTCGCACAGCAGGGCGGGCAGCAGCAGGGCGGCCCGGGCAAGAGGGCGCCGGCAAGTAGGGCTGCGAGCAGCAGGACGGGCAGCAGCCGGGCGGCGCAAGCAGGGCGGCGCAAGCAGGGCAGTGCAAGCAGGGCAGCGCACGGGCTGCAAGGGGCGGCGAGCCGGCTGCAGAAGGGCGGCGAGCGGGCTGCCAGAGTGTGGCGCGCGGGCTGCAATGGGCGGCGAGCAATCTGCCAAAGGGCGGCGCGCGGGCTGCAATGGGCGGCGGGCGGGCCGCAAACAGGCGGCGAGCGGGCTGCAGGGGCGGCGAGCGAGCTGCAGGGGTGGCGAGCGGGCTGCAGGGGCAGCTCGCGGGCTGCAGGGGCAGCGAGCGGTCTGCAGAGGCGGCGCGCGGGCTGCTAAAGGCGGCGCGCGGGCTGCTAAAGGCGGTGCGCGGGCTGCAGGGGCGGCGAGCGGGCTGCAGGGGCGGCGCGCGGGCTGCAGGGGCGGCTCGCGGGCTGCCAAAGGGGGGGGGCGCAACGGGCTACAAAGGGCGGCTCACGGATTGCTAAGGGCGGCACAGCGGCCAGCAGGGCCGTGCGACCGTTAGGGCAGGGCGGCAAGGCAACTAGTGGGGCAGCGCTCTGTGGTGGGCCCTAAAAAAAAATCGGTCCTAGAACGGACCTGCTCTGAAACCATGTCAAAATACTAAGCGAGAAATGGTTGGATTGAACAAAAAGTTGGGTACAAATACTAACCTTAATTGGGTTGTACCCCTTATGGGCACAATGTAAGCACTAAAAGAGTTTGACAGCCGATACCATTTAGCAGCAGCAAAGCCAATCCCAGTCTTGTTTATTCACCCCTGCTACATCACTTGGCAGCAGCAGGAGGCGGCGCCCGGGCACTGAGAATGCTGAGCCAGGCCACCACACCCACACTCAGAATCACCCTGCAGCAGCAGCAGCATACCTACCATTATCCTCCCAACTACTTGGCAGCAGCAGCAGCATGCCCACCACCATTATCCTCCCAATTACTTGGCAGCAGCAGGAGGCGGCGCTCGGGCACTGAGGATGCTGAGCCATGCCACGACACCCACACTCAGAATCACCCACCCTGCCACATCATACCACAGATCGCTGCTCTTCTTCTTCTGGACCTGCACAGGAGAAGCAGCCATGAGGTGAAGTACAGCCACAGCCACACATTGAGACACTTGAAGTCACCATGCTTGCGAGGCGCCTCACAAGTAAGACATGCAAGGCGTTTCAACGCCATATGGCGAGGCATTCAAAAGACACCAGTCTGCAGCCAGAAAACCGAGGAGAGGGTGGTTCAGATCCACTGACATGAACCATGCGCATACCAAGGAAATCAGAATTGGAATGACGAGCACAAGGATGCACGCGAGTATGTGCGCTGGCTGAGCATAAAAGTGAGCAGGGAGAATTGGTGAGAAAAGTGTTGAGTGTACTAGGAACAGACGACGTGGACGGTTGTGACATATACCTCGGGAGTATTCATGACGATGGATGCACAAGAGGATGTGCGCTAATGTTGCTCGATGTGTGCAGGGAGAATTAGTGAGAAAAAGGCTGAGTGTACTAGGAACAGGAAAGATGGGTTGTTGCTCAACGTACCTTGGGAGCATCCATGAACGATGGATGCACTGCTGCTCCCAGCATCGGCTGCAGCCCCAGCCCCTCCGGAATCAGAGATAACTGGGAGTGCACTCGAAACAGGGTGAGTGAATCACTGCTCAAAGCACCATACCTTGGGAGCATCCATGGACGATGGATGCACAGCAGCTCCCAGTGCCTGCTGCTGCTCCAGCCGCCCCCAGTAACAAAGGTAACCGTGCACTAGAAACAGGGGAAGTGGATCGGCCTTGTTCATCATACCTTGGGAGCATCCACGGAGGATGGGTGCACAGCGGCTCCCAGCGCCTGTTGCAGAGCCATCTGCTTCTGTTGGTTGGTGCAAATCAGGTTCAAGTGTGCTGGAATGGAAACACTGAAAGTCCACAGCCATACCTTGACCTTTGAAATCATCTTACCTTGGGAGCATCCATGGAGGAGGGATGCACCGCTGCCCCCAGCGCCTGCTGCAGAGCCATCTGCTTCTGTTGGGTGGTGCAAATCAGGTTCAAGTGTGCTGGAAACACTGAAAGTCCACAGCCATACCTTGACCTTTGAAATCATCTTACCTTGGGAGCATCCATGGAGGAGGGATGCACCGCTGCCCCCAGCGCCTGCTGCAGTGCCATCTGTTTCTGCACCTCTTGAAGTGCAGCAGAAACACTGAAAGTGCACCGCTGTTCAGCATACCTTAGGGGCATCCATGGAGGAGGGATGGACAGCGGCTCCCAGCGCCTGCTGCAGAGCCATCTGCTTCTGCACCTCTTGATGCAGTTCAGGGCCCTGCAATCGGTTTAAGAAAACTTGTTAGTTCTAAAATACTACTCAATATCAGCTAAACATAACCAGGGAAGTAGAACACTTTACGAGGCATCTGCGTCTCTCCACCTCCTGATGCATCTCAACAGAAACACCGGAATTGAGACGCCAAGAGGATTTGGCATCAGGCGGAGAAAACACAGCAAAACACACCCAAACGGGGTCTCACTCACCTTCAGTGAGATCTCCAGTGACTTGCGGTAGGCGTCGTTGCTTGGGTCCTGCCATGCCATGGGGGGGAGAAAGAGACAAGAGAGAAGACAGAGCACATTCCAAACTTGAAAAGTCGCTCAAGGATGTGCGGAGAAAGGAGGAGGGTGAGAAACACAGCGCAAAGTATGCGTCGTTGCTTGGATCCTGCCATGGGGGGGGGAAGAAGAGGCGCAAGAAAGGGCAGAGCACATTCCAAACTTGAAAAGCCGCTCAAGGACGGGAGGAGAAAGGATGAAGGCGAGAAACACAGCAACAAAGTACAGCGCAAATCCCACTCAAGAACATCGTAGAATGTACTTTGTTGGGCTGCGTTGCTTGGGTCCTCCCATGGGGGGGGGAAGAAGAGGCGCGAGAGAAGACAGAGCACATTCCAAACTTGAAAAGCCACTCAAGGTCGGGAGGAGGAGAAAGGATGAAGGCGAGAAACACAGCAACAAAGTACAGCGCAAATCCCACTCAAGAACATCGTAGAATGTACTTTGTTGGGCTCACTGCGTTGCTTGGGTCCTCCCATGGGGGGGGAAGAAGAGACGCGAGAGAAGACAGAGTGCATTCCAAACTTGAAAAGCCGCTCAAGGACAGGAGGAGGAGAAAGGAGGAAGGCGAAAAATGCAGCGAACAAAAAAAAAGAGACGCGATCAAGTAGATTGCAGAGCGGAAGACTGAAGTTTGAAAGGGTGACATTAGGTCTATGAAAGCCGCTCTGTATGTTAACAAATCCCACAATATAGTAAACCACAGAGAACTGCACTCAACCACGACCTACCGCATCCAACGCCTTCCTGAAGCAGTCAGAGGCCTTCTCAAAGCTGACGTTGGCCAAAACACCATCAGGCATCTGGAATCCCCTCGTGGTGTGCGCGTTGCATTGCCAAGCCGTACAGGAAAATTATACCCAACACGCTAAACCCCAAAGAGCCACACTGAACCGCACTCAACCATGACCTACCGCGTCCAGCGCCTTCCTGAAGCAGTCGGAGGCCTTTTCAAAGCTGACGTTCGCCAGGGTGGCATCAGGCGTCTGGAATCCCCTGGTGGTGTGCGCGTTCCCAAGCCACCACAGCGTGTCGGGGCGAGATGGGGCGATCTTGAGAGCTTCATCAAATTTCGAGACAGCATCTGTAAGGGCAGGGCGTGGGGAAGGAGAGGAGAGGGGAGGAACTTTGGGCATGAGGCGTCTGAAATCCCCTAGTGGTGTGTGCGTTGCCGAGCCTTAAAGCCACCCAAGTGCGTCCATCCGTGCACGCGTCTGGAAGCTCCTGGTGGTGTGTGCGTTGCCGAGCCATCAGAGGGTGTCGGGGCGAGATGGGGCGATCTTCAGTGCCTCATCAAATTTTGAGACAGCATCTGCAAGGGCAGGGGCGTGGGGAAGGGAAGGAGAGGGGAGGACCATTGGTGGGCATCGGGCGTCTGAAGGCCCCTCTGGTGGTGTGCGCATTCCCGAGCCACCAGAGGGTGTCGGGGCGAGAGGGAGCGATCTTCAGTGCTTCATCAAATTTAGATACAGCATCTGTAAGGGCAGGGGGCGTGGAGAAGGAGAGGAGAGGGGAGGAACATTGGGCATCACATCGGGCATCTGAGACTGGAAGCCTCTGGTGGTGTGTGCGTTGCCGAGCCACCACAGGGTGTCGGGGCGAGATGGGGCGATCTTGAGTGCTTCATCAAATTTAGATACAGCATCTGAAGGCAAGGGGGCGTGGGGAAGGGGAGGGAGGAGAGAAGAGGAACATTGCGCATTGGGCGTCTGAAGGCCCCTCTGGTGGTGCGCGCGTTGCCGAGCCACCAGAGGGTGTCGGGGCAAGATGGGGCGATTTTCAGGGCCTCATCGAGCTTGGAGACAGCATCTGAAAGGGCAGGGCGTGGGGAAGGGGAGGAGAGAGGAGGAACATTGGGCACCACATCAGGTGTCTGAGACTGAAACTCCCTGGTGGTGTGTGCATTGCCGAGCCACCACAGGGTGTCGGGGCGAGATGGGGCGATCTTGAGGGCCTCATCAAATTTAGATACAGCATCTGAAGAGAGCAATAGGGGAGGGAAGGGGAACATTTGGACAGTGGGGTGTGGGAACGGTGGGAAAGGGGGGAATACTCTATTTTGCACGTCTGGAACCCCCTCGTGGTGTGCGCGTTGCCGAGCCACCACAGGGTGTCCGGGCGAGATGGGGCGATCTTGAGGGCCTCATCGAATTTAGATACAGCATCTGACACTGACAGCAGCGAGTGGGGAAAGGGGTGGAGGAAAATAATCACTTTTGAGCCGCCTCTAAGCCAAAGGAGCATGTCATTGCGAGACGGGGCGATCTTGAGGGCTTCATCGAACTTTGGCACAACATCTGACGGCAGTGCGTGGGGAGAGTGGATGGAAAGGGAAGAGTACGCTTGAGTTGAGACGCCTCTAAGCCACCACCGCATCAGGCGTCTGAAAGCCCCTGGCGGTGTCGGGAGGGGGAGGGGGAGGGGAGGGGAAGTGAGGGGCGGGGAAGGGAGAGGAGAGGAGGTAAAGAGGGGAGAGGAGGGGAGGAAAGGAGAGAGGAGGGAAACAGAGGGGAAAGAAGGGAAGAGGACATCAGCATTCGATTATCAATACATGTAATGAAAAAAGACATTGGAAGGGCAAGGGGGGGAGGGGGGAAGGGGGGTTGCGAGAAACAAGAACCGAGGCAGTGCATAGTGTATATATAAGCACCCATGTTACACTCGCCATCCAGCAATCCGTTCGACTCCTGCCCCTGAATGAACTGTGCCAGTCCACTCAAGGTTGAATAAAACTCACTACAAGCAGCCTTGACTCGTTACAAGCAGCCCCGTTACCTCACCATCCAGCATCTCGTTCGACTCCTGCCCCTGAATGAACTGTGCCAGTCCACTCAAGGTTGAATAAAACTCACTACAAGCAGCCTTGACTCGTTACAAGCAGCCCCGTTACCTCACCATCCAGCATCTCGTTCGACTCCTGCCCCTGAATGAACTGTGCCAGTCCACTCAAGGTTGAATAAAACTCACTACAAGCAGCCTTGACTCGTTACAAGCAGCCCCGTTACCTCACCATCCAGCATCTCGTTCGACTCCTGCCCCTGAATGAACTGCGCCAGCCAGCTCCGCGCGCAAGTATGAATACTTTGCTATCAACAACCTCATTCCTCGTTACACGTCGTTTTGTTACTAGCTCGTTACAAGCCCTCTGGCTACAATCACCATCCAGCATCTCGTTCAACTCCTACCCCTGAATGAACTGTGCCAGCTCCACCAGTAACTATGAATATCTTACTGTGAACAACCTCGTACCTCGTTACAAGTCGTCAATCTGCAAACCCGTTACAAGCCCTCTGGCTACACTCACCGTCCAGCATCTCGTTCGACTCTTGCACCTGAATGAACTACGCCAGACCTTCCACGGCTAAATAAACCTCAATACAAGCAGCCTTGACTCGTTACAAGCAGCCCCGTTACACTCACCATCCAGCATCTCGTTCGACTCCTGACCCTGAATGAACTGCGCCAGCTCCACCAGCGTTCGGCCAAGCTTGGTCAGATTCTGCAAGGAGGGAAGCAGAAGGGCATAGGAGTGCAGAGGAGTGCAGAGGGGTAGAGAACAAACTCGTTCGACTCCTGCCCCTGACTGAACTGCGCCAGCTCCACCAGCGTTCGCCCGAGCTTGGGCAGATTCTGAGGGGCACAGAGGGGAGCAGAGGAGCAGAGGAGCAGAGGAGCAGAGGAGCAGGGGAGCAGGGGAGCAGGGGAGCAGAGGAGCAGAGGAGCAGAGGAGCAGAGGAGCAGAGGAGCAGAGGAGCAGAGGAGCAGAGGAACAGAGGAGCAGAGAATGAATCCGTTCGCCTCCTGCCCCTGAATGAACTGCGCCAGCTCCACCAGCGTTCGGCCAAACTTGGTCAGATTCTGAGAGGCACAGAGGGGCGGAGGGAAGAAGAGGAGCAGATGAGCAGAGACGGAGAGACGTAGGGATGAAGGGAAGCGGGGGGAGGGGCGCACAGAGGGGGGCACGTCGGAGGGAAGAAGAGGAGCAGATGAGCAGAGACGTATAGATGCGGAGAAGCAGAGAAGCAGGGACGAAGAGTTGACTTTTGAGTCGACTCAAAAGAAGAGGAGCAGATGAGCAGAGACGTATAGATGTAAAGATGCGGAGAAGCAGAGAAGCAGGGACGAAGAGAAGGTGAGAAGCAGAAAAAACAAACCTCGCCGTATTCCGCAAGGGTTCGACGAGAACAGCTCCTCCTGACACCTGGACGACTCAACCCCGTCATGTGCGACGGATCCGCGCTCTGCGACTGTACCCGCGATCGAACCAGCGACCGTACCTGCGACAGCACCTGATACAATACCTGCGTGCGGTCGACCTGCGACGGTATCTTCGACAGCCCCTGCGACAGTCTCAGCGACTATACCTGCGACCATACATACATAAATTGAACCAACAGCCCCGTGAAAGTACTCACATCGGCGTCATGTGGGTTCTTCTTGAACTCGGCCATGGCCTGCTCCCTCGTCTGCTCGAAGAACATGACTCGCTCAAAGTCTTCCCTCGGGAACTCCATGCTCCCACGCTGTCCGTTAACGTCTGGTTATTGACTGTTAACGTCAGATCCCTGACGGAGAACGTCTAATTGTGACCTGTACCGTTTGATTCTAAGCCGTTAGCGTTTGATCTCCAGTCGTTTACGTCCGATCGTTAACCGTGACGACTGATTTAACCGCTGACGTCTGATCCTTGAACCGTCACCGTCTGATTCGCGTCCGGGGTATCGGCAAATTAAGTCGATTACTACCTGATCGAAGCGCGATTAGGTCCCTTCAACTCTCACCTCTAAAACCTATAATGCTATCCCAAGACCCAAACGACAAGAACGCAAACGAGTCGTCGCAGAGTCCTAACCTGCCGCGGATCAAGGTTCAGGCAGGTAGTCTAGGGAGTAAATTAGGAGGTGCTAGGAGGTGAGTTGGTGACACGTCAGAGAAAAAATAAGGTTTGGGTGGGACGAGGGAGAAGTGTTGGGCAGGGAGGAGGAGGTTTGCGTAGAGTAGCTATTTCGCAGGGATTTAGCGACAGGCGAAATGTATGTTGCGAAACAGTAGAGAACAACGATGCATGTTACGGGCAGTTCCGAAACTCTCGAGGAGGTTGGGAAATCCAGTACGCGATATCAGAAAGTCATTAGAAGTTAACAGCTCAACTGAAAATGTGTCATGTACACAACTAGGTACATCTGGAGTCATCAAACACCCAGGGTTCGTGGATGAACAGCTCTCTCCCATTCATGGGCACTCGCCCTGCCGCTATGTCCTCCGCTCGTTTCCTTGAAGCCTCCTCCTTCCTTGCCGTTTCCTCTTGATCCTAAGCATTAAAAAACGAGGGGATAAGACACATCAATATAATATTAGACGGGCACGTAAAAACGGGGGTAAGTCACAAGGCAACATGGTTTGAGGGCAATGGGGAGGCAAATAAACAGCTACGGTAATTGCTGACAAGTCAACAGTTGTAACAGAAACAGTAAACTGACAAAGCCAGGTGACAGATTCAGGACAACTGGACAACCACACTGCCACACACACTGGAAAAGAACCCAACTTCACACACACAAACAAAACACCCTTCTTGTCGCCTAAACTGCTTTGAAGTCATTCGGAGCCTGCTACTATAAAACTATTACTGTCATCGCCCGGATATAAGACATATATGTCTTGTCTCGTACACGGGAAAAAATGCCTGGGTTGTCTTGTATTTGGGACGGTTTATGGTGTCTTATAAGTCTTATATATGGACAAAGAACCGTTTAGAAGATACCCCCTCGCTATACAATTGCCCCTAACCCCTACACTGGCTTAACTCGTACACACAAATAGGTGTCTTATAATGAGGCTACCCCGTTTATAAGAGACATCCGGATAATAGACACCCCCTGTCTACTATTCAACACTGTCTTATATCCGGGCGATTACGGTAGCTATTAAGTACGAACGGCTCACCTGCAAATCAGATGTTCGTTGTTCTCAGTCAAATGAAAAATGAATCTAGCACGCATGAAAGCACAATTTCCTCGCTCAACACTCCGGGCAGGAAATGCACCGACGTCATTGTCAAGGTTGTAACCCAGCTTTACTGTTGTGAATTCTCAAAAGTTACTTTCCTCGGCTTACACTCGCGGTACTACTGCAGAGTCATTGGCACACGGCCTTCAATTGCTGGCGCTGCTAGCAGAAACCCATCCACACGGAAATGACCTGCTGGTCCTTTTCAGCTGGACAAACCATGGCTCTAGCGCACCTTAAAGCGCACCTTCAAGCACACCTTAAAGACACATTCAAGCACACCTTAAAGACACATTCAAGCACACCTTCAAGCACACCTTAAAGACACATTCAAGCACACCTTCAAGCACACCTTCAAGCACACCTTCAAGCACACATTCCTGGCCTTCCACTCGCGGAACTGCTTCAGAGTCATTGGCACTCTGTATCTGCTCCAACCCTCAGTTACTGGCTCTGCTGACAGGGGTGCCCATCCACAGGCACATGAACTCATGGTTCCTTTCAACTGGACAAAGCATGGCTCTACCACACCTGAACGTGCACCTTCCTCACCTTCCTCACCTTCCTCACCTTCCTCGCCTTCCATTCACGGTACTGCTCCAGGGCCATAGGCGTGCGGCCCTCAGCTGCTGCCTCCCCTGGCAGATATTCATCTGCTAATAGAAACCCCACACAACCTCACCTTCCTCGCCTTCCTCACCTTCCTCGCCTTCCATTCACGGTACTGCTCCAGGGTCATTGGCGTGCGGCCCTCAGCTGCTGGCTCTGATGGCAGGTTTCCATGCACATGTGAATTGACCGCTCTAGAGCACTCCTGGATACAGCCCACCTTCCTCGCCTTCCATTCCCGGTACTGCTCCAGGGTCATTGGCGTGCGGCCCTCAGCTGCTGGCTCCCATGGCAGGTTCCCATCCACATCCACAGGCACATCGACTGCTGGTTCCCTGTATTAACCGGACAGGGCATGGCTCTATCACACAAGAAATCTCACCTTCCTCGCCTTCCATTCACGGTACTGCTCCAGAGTCATTGGCGTGCGCCCCTCAGCTGCTGGCTCCCCTGACAGGTTCTCATCCACAGGCGGATCGACTGCTCCCCTCAGCTGCTGCTTCTGCAGGCAGGATCTCATCCACAGGCAGATGAACTGCTGGTTCCTTTCAACTGGACAAAGCATGGCTCTATCACACAAGCACGGCCTCACCTTCCTTGCCTTCCTTGCCTGCTGGCTCTGCAGGCAGGATCTCATCCACAGGCGGATGAACTGCTGGTTCCTTTCAACTGGAAAAAGCATGGCTCTATCACACAAGCACGGCCTCACCTTCCTTGCCTTCCTTGCCTGCTGGCTCTGCAGGCAGGATCTCATCCACAGGCGGATGAACTGCTGGTTCCTTTCAACTGGACAAGCAAGAACCCTAGCACACCTGACGCTCACCTTCCTTGCCTTCCAAGCACGGTACTGCTCCAGAGTCATTGGCGTGCGCCCCTCAGCGGCTGGCTCTGCTGACAGACGCTCATCCACAGAAACTTCGACTGCTGCTTCCGCTCGTTCCCCTGCGTCTAGATACTCCGCTCCCATGGTGCGATGCCTGCTGGGGGGTGCACAGTGTGAGTGAGTGGACAGGGGGATTCTCACCCACAGGCACATCCACTGCTGCTTCTGCTCGTTCCCCTGCGTCTAGATACCCTGCTCCCATGGTGCGATGCCTGCTGGGGGGTGCATGGGGTGAGAAGAGGTCGAAAATTTATCCACACGCACATCGACTGCTCGTTCCCCTGCGTCTAGATACTCTGCTCCCATGGTGTGGTGTCTGCTGGGTTGCATGGGGTGAGAGGAGATCACGAGTGGAAGGGGTGAATTTGAGGCGTAGAAACTCGGTTCCGCTTGCTCCACTGCGTCTAGATACTCTGCTCCCATGGTGCCTGCTGGGTTGCATGGGGTGAGAGGACCAGGAGTGGACGGGGGGATCAAAGCACATCCACGGGTGCATCAACTGCTGGTTCCGCTTGCTCTACTGCGTCTAGATACTCTGCTCCCATGGCGTCTGCTGGGTGGCATGAGATGAGGAAAGAGAGGAGAGGATAGGGGGTGGAAGGGAGGGGAAACAGACGCCTTCAAAGCCCATCCACAGGCAGGCAGCAGACCGACTGCTGGTTCCGCTTGCTCCACTGCGTCTAGATATTCTGCTCCCATGGCGCCTGATGGGTTGCATGGGGTGAGAGGAGATCGAGAGTGGGAGAGAGGAGTTTGAAACGCGTCAGAATTCATCCACTCCACTCCACAGGCGGATCGGCTGCTGCTGGTTCCGCTTCTTTCCCTAGAGTGTTTAAATACTCTACTCCCATGGCGCCTGCTGGGTTGCATGGGGTGAAAGGTTCGGGAATGAAAGGTGAGTCAAAGCGCATTGCACAGGCGGATAAACTGCTGCTTCCGCTCGCTCCCCTGCGCCTAGATACCCTGCTCCCATGGCGCCTGATGGGTTGCATGGGGTGAGAGTAGATCACGAGTGGAAGGGATGAGTTTGAGACGTCTCCCCCGCTGGTTCCGCTTCGCTCGTTCCCCCTGCGTCCAGATACCCTGCTCCCATGGCGCCTGCTCGGTTGCATGGGGTGAGAGAGAGAGAGAGAGAGAGAGAGAGAGAGAGAGAGAGAGAGAGAGAGAGAGAGAGAGAGAGAGAGAGAGAGAGAGAGAGAGGAGATCGAGAGTGGACGGGGGGGATTTCGGGGCGAATCAAAGCTCATCCACAGGTGCATCGAGCGCTGGTTCCCCTGCGCCTAGACACGCCGCTCCCATAGTGGCGCCTGCTGGTTCCGCTGGTTCCCCTGCGCCTAGATCCTCCGCTTGTTCTGCTCCCATGGCGCCTGATGGGTCGTATGAGGTGAGACAGAGGAGATCGAGAATTCATCCACAGGCACATCCACTGCCGGCATGCGAGGGGATGAGGTGACTTTTGAGTCGACTCAAAAGTCTTTTGAGTTGACTCAAGAGACAGAGGAGATCGAGAACTCATCCACAGGCACAAACACTGCCGGCATGCGAGGGGATGGGGCGCGGACTCACTTCTATAGCAAGGTGATCCAACGGCTGACATTCACGATGACTTTTGGAATGATTACAAGGCAGGAGAGGGAGGAATCACATCAAAGGCAAGCGACGGGTGAATCGCGAAACGCACCTCTACCGCAAGATGATTCGCGACTCGCGAGGATGAACAGCGCCTTAGATGCGGACGGACGGACGGACGGACGGACGGGCGCCCGTGTACGGATGAAAGGGTGTGCCTGATTCGTGAAGACGCGCGAGCGCGACGGCGGCAGGCGCTGGCGAAGCTACGCGAACGAGTGCGAAGCTATGCGAGGAGCTACCAGGAGTGGCGAAGCTATGCGACAAGGTGTTATGAGAGTGGCGATGCGATGCGACATACAAGGAGTGGAGAACGTATCTGATGAAAGAGAGCTGATGGAGACAGAACAGATTGGCGTGTGTGGTGTAGTGGGATTTAATATGGTGCAGTATGTTTTGGTGTGGTGTGGGATTGTGTGGTTTGCTGCTGCATCATATCATCCTTGCCAAAAGCAGTTCTGGTTGCAAACAACCCACAGCTTGACACTACACACAAACACAGTTTTGTTCTTCGTACTTCCGTTTAATGCAAAGAAATGAGAAAGTTGTTTACTTCCGTCCCTTAGAACCAGTTGAGTATCTGTTTTAAACATTATGGATAAGCAGAAGTTGGGAAAGTTGTTGCTGTTGTTTGAAACGTTAGCGACGCAAATGCTGGTGTTATAAATCGTCGAAGCTCTCTATAACCATACAGTTCTCGGGTCAACGGAAACTTGAAGCCTTGAACAGCCCTGACGCAGTCAGCCGACTTAATATTTTCTCTGTTCCGGACCGTAGAAAAGCGATTTTGAACCTTCCGAAACCATACGGCTGTTCTACGTCAGAAAAAGTGGACCACGACTCCAGCTTTTGACCAGCAGCGTGGCGCCACGATGAAAAGTGCCCTGGCAGGGACACTACACCACCACCACCCCCATCAGTCTCCTCACACCACGCCACGCGGGAAAAATGCCTCCCATCCCATTCGCCGCCACGCGACATTGCGCGCTTCGCCGAACACTGTTTTCAGAAATCCTGATTTCAACCGCCGTCAGAATTTCACCACCCAACCCAACCTCCGCACCGCAACTGCTGCTTCATTTCCCCTGTAGTCTCGACAGCACCAGCTATCGTCGTGGTGATTGGGATCCATGCTGCCTGAAACGCGATCAGCTTAAAGCCAGGATCTCAAGTAAGAGAATTGGCCTTCAATTGCAAAACACTTGCAGCGCTTGTTACCCTATTTTTGTAGGCGAATTGACTGGCTGGTTAGGAAAGTGAGCGTGCGGCACACCCACGATTTTGCCCCTAGAGCAAATGCAAAACATTTTGCTGGTACATGAGATTGTTGTGTGTGACGAGAAATTGCAGGCATTGGAGCTTCGTCACCGAACCAGTTTCCGAGCCTTGCTTGGTTCGGACTGAACTTGCGATTTGTCTTTACTTCGCACCCCTCGCTTCACACCTAGTCAGATTGTTCACCTCGCTAACCAATCGCAGCCCAGCTCCCCTCACCAACTGCAAAACAATTGAACTACTTGAGATCCTGGCTTTAAGTACCGGACTGATCCCAATAACTTATCAGTCGAATCAACTTCTTTGTCGATCAGACCAGCAACTTATCCTTGAGACTGAATTAGCTAGAATACCTTCCACTCGCGTCCGCCTGCAAGCTCCGCAGCGGACTCAAACCGCGCAATCAGCCCTGCTCGCGCCGCGATCACAATGGCTTCCAGCACTCGCTACCTCTTCCTGGCAGTCGTAGCGACCGCAATCATCGTCCTCTCTTCGGAATTGCTCTTACTGCGAGCAGCCGCCGCTCCTGAAACTTCCGCCGCCACTGAAGCGGAAATCGTGTCGGGCCCGTATGCCGCCAGCAGCGAAGATCACGCATGGGGGAGCAATGTCAGGCGCGCGCTCAAATCCTCCAGCGATTCGCAAAGCAGCGGCAGCGGCGGCAGCAGCGGGTCATACAAGCCGAGGAAGCACGGGAAGCGGAGCGCGTCGAGCAGCGGCGGAAGCGGCGAGGGCTACTGCCCCTACGCGGGCCGCTCGGGGAATTCGCCGGCCAGTATCTTCTGCGGCGGCGCCTGCTGCATTGTACGTCTTCCGCACTCTCACTCTTCCCCTCCCCCCCCCCCCCCTCCCCACACCCAAACCTCCAAACCCCCCCCCCCCCGCTCCCCGCTCTTCTGCCCTTATCTCCCTGCTGCAGCGTATATCTCCCCCCCCCGTCCCACCTGCTTCCCCCCTCTTCTGCCCCTATTCCGCCACTTCCGCCCTCCATCCTCTGCTGCGGAGCCTGCTGCGTCGTACATTCTCCATTTTCCATTTTCTCTTCCTTCCCTCGTACGTTTTCTTTTTGTGTATTCGGCAACGTCACACAACTCGGAGTTCCCGTGCTGCGGTGACCAGATGCTGCAAGAGGGAAGGGCGCTGTTCCTTTAGTGCAAAAAGAAAAATACTGTTGTTGTGTGCTAATCCAACTCTCTTGACCTTTCCCTTTTCTTTGGGTCTATCTACAGGACTCGGAGTACCCGTGTTGCGGGGGCCAGATGTGCTGCAAGAGGGGAGGGTGCTGCTCCAGCAACGGGCTACCCCACTGCTGTTGAGGGCGTGTTCGGTGTCATGCGCCCATCCTGGGTGCCAACTAGATTTCAGTAACTTTGGATTTATGTCAACGACAAGATCATATGCATGTAGATCTGTGCTGAATATATTACAACCCCAATCTGGGCAAATAGTGGATGTTGCAAGCTGAAACTCTTGTGTTGTTGCTGGAATTTTGGCTTTGCTGTGGTAACACTAAGGTCAAAGCACAGTGCACCACCCATCCCTGCTGCTGGATCAACTTCGCAAGTCTGCTTGACAGGGGAGGAAACATGGGCACTATGGAAGAAATTAGGCCGCCCTATTCGCAGGCGTCATGTTACAGTCCATCTCCCCTTCTAGTCACGAGACTGTTGGACACTTTGCCTTTGTTGATGTGCATGCTCAGATTGCAAGATTGCAGGGAGCAGGGGCAGTGGGATTGGAGTAAAGATCACGAAAGAGACTACTCTTACTGGTTAGCATATAATAATTTGACAATTTACTTATTTACTAATACAATATGAAACTTAATGAGAAGGCATTCATGTACGGTGCAGGAGCCGACTCTACCGAGTACGAAGACGAGGAGTCAGATCAAGACCGATGCAGGCATAAACATTTGAAGTGAAAAGAGCGGGAACATGTTTGAAATGGGTTCCCGCGCCGCACGGTTTGAACCTCGCTACAATAAGAGAATGTACCCATTAGAGTACATGGCTAGTCTATGTCGTTTCGTATTCCTTTGTATTCCTCTATAAACCCGATGTATTCATGTTCTTATCATCTCAGTCATTTACATTCACTCTGACCTGAGGTCAACACTCCCGCTGCAACAACTCAACATGCGATCAACCCTGAGACGATCCTTCACTAAGTCATGTTTAGGATTGTACC